TACTCGTTCCAAAAGCAGCCAATCCTCTCAGGGGCCCTGGAGGAAACTGCAGAGCGAAGCTCATGGGTCCGGGCTGGTTCACCCCTGACCTCCCCAGCCCGGGCCACCTCCCAGATGCTGGTGCAGCTGTTCGCTGTGTGCCCTGCTCCACCCTACACAGCTAGGTATCAGCTTCCACAGGCCAGTGCGTTAACAACAGGCAGTTTCACACCACCCTGTGACAAAACACATCACCAAGAAAGCTAACAGAGCCCGAATGGCGATGGCACAGAGGCTATGGCGGCAGGCACCTGAGAGCCCATCTACATGGGGAACTCGTGGTGGGAAAAGAGCTGTTTACCTGGAAGGATGCAGCTTGCACTGAACCATTAGCCACCACCATACTAGGGTGTCATAGGCTTTCAACCAAGCCCAAAGGGTTCTGCCAGCACATCACCACACCACGGTGCCCAGAGGCCATGGGGATGGGCACAACAGCCACGACAAGACCTGTTCCTTGGGCAGGGCTCATTGGAAGCAGCCCGCGAGAGGGCCGGATTTGAGTTCCCCGCACCCAGCCAACGTAACAGCCAGAGCCAAGAAGCCGCCGGAGTGCGCGCCACATCTTCCAGTGCCGTACTCACAATGCCTTGTCCCAGCCTCTTCCACCCGGGACACAAGGGAACCTTGTTCTCTGCAGAAACCACTCCAAAAGGGCAAGAGGCTCCCCGCCCTGTGCTTGAGGCTCCACGCCCTGTGCTGGCCGTGATGAATGGAGCGGACTCATGCAGACTAGACAATGCCCTGCCAATGTCACATCCATGTGGCTCTCGCCCAGAAGTGGGAAGCAATGCCGTAACGCAGACGACAGCGCACTAGGCAGGGACTCCGGCGGGCGGCACGGGGCCCGTGCCAGCGCAATGGGTCAGTTCCTCGCTGCAACTTGATCTGCCCGGCTTCTCTCCTGGCCACGCCGTGAACAATCTGCCTCTGTCCCTCAATTAGCCACACAAGTGGCTGGATATTTTCGGGCACAACGTGCCAAAGCAGAAGGCTCTGTCCTGCCAACGTGGGGGCTCCCCTGCTGCCCACGCAGGGGAACAGGAGCTGGTGCTTCTGTCAGCTGCAGCACGGACACGCTGGTCTGTTTTGACCTCATGCGCTGAAACCAAAGGCCATCACCAAACAGCAAGCCCCAAAAGCCAAGGGGCACCAGTACCCACCTAGCACCCCTCTGGGGTGGCACCACATACGGCTTGGAGAGCTGCACGCAAAGCTTCTTACTGGTTGCATGAGGAAGGAGGGGAACTCGCTCTGCCCTTCCAGGGAGCTCCAGGCTCTTTTCCCCAGTTGCAGCAACGTTGCGGGTGGAGGGTGCAGGGTCCACATCCCCATTAGCACACTAGGGAAACTGAGGCACAGAGAGATGTATTTGTGTTAGGCCTCTACATCAGAGATGGGGTTTGCTCAGGTCACCTGAACACCCCACCCAGGCAGACATAGCAAATGATAGCCCCGAGAGAGGTACCCAGTGGAGAGACAAGTGCAGCCCAAGGGACAGAACAGAGACTGGGACTCTGCAGCTCTTTTCCCAGCTCTGCCACCGAGTGGCTGGGTGACCCTGGCTAGGTCACTTTCCCTCTCAGTGCCTCAGTTTCCCTGCCAGGAAGGCAGTCCAACCTTGCTTGCAAGGTGTTTTGAGAGGCAGGGAGGAAATCTGTTACCTCCATGAGTTCTTGCCTCTTACTGCCCCTTGTCCGGTCCCAGGGATGGTCTGAGGAAGAAACAAACCTACATTCAAGGCAGGAGGATCTTCAATCAGACAGCACAGGACACTTTTTTTCTTTAAATTTTAGTTTGTAGCTGAGGCCAAATTAGCCAAATCTAATTCCAAATCCAAGAGTCCAGAACCATACTACCGGCAAACATCCTCCACCCGCAACTGGGGCTCCAGATGTTTCCAAAACCTTTGACAGGCAGGGGGACGCCGGGCTTGGGGTTCGGATGTCCCCGAGTTTTGCTTGCCCCCATCCATAAGGCCCTCAGAACAAGCAAGGGAAGAGACTCCCATTTCCATAACTGGGCTTAAAGCCACTGCACCTTGGCAGGTACCGAACCACGCCAGAAGAGCAGTTCTCCTACAAGGCAGTTCAGGAAAACTGCCTTCTTGGACACAGATGCGTGGTATTTCCCCTGCCAGGTTAAGAAGCCACTACACTTGATCTGAGCCTTCAAGAGGCAGAGACAGGCCAACCAAAGGATGCACCTGGCAAAGGAGCAGCTATTTATAAAACAAAGCCCCTGGGGCTCCATAAGCCACGACCTTGATCTTGCAGTGAGCTGCACAAAGGCAGGCCCCGGTGCCCTGGGGAAGCCCCTTGGACCCTAAACCACCCTGCAGGGGTCTGCCAGTTTGGTTTTGCTCTCACAGCTGGCCTTGCATGGGCTTCCATGGCATTCTGCCCGAGTGCAGGGGTCTGCCAGCATGGTGCAGACACAATGCACCAAAAACACCGCCATATCTGCAGAAGGTGCAGCCACGTGACACAACAGGATGGTGGGGAAAAAGGGGCAACTTCTGAACCCAGCTACTGCTACCAGAGAAACACAGTCCTCTTTGGGCCTTTCATAGCTGGATGCCAAGCAGTGAAGAGTCTGACTTAGTCTTCCACATAACCACTCCCCTGGGAGGGACACTCTGCCCTGGAGGGACATAGCACCGAGGTGCCCAGGCTGCAGCTCCCCACCGCCTGCCATTGAGCTGGCCAAGCCAGCCCCACCAGCACTCAGCCTTTGGTGCAGTGAGCACTAATCTGATTTGCTGTGCGGAGCAGCGGCAGGCCACTTCCTGCAGTGATTTAACTCGTCAAAGGGCAGAGGGTGCATTGTGGACACGGCAGCCACTAGCTGGCGAGGAACTGAAAGCTGCAGAGCATACGAGGGCAGAAATCCTCCTTGCCCTGTCCTCCTCCTCCTGCTGCAGAGACCTTTTGGCTGCTTAAGGTGTTCCCCATCCTGTCCCACTGCACAGAGCAGCACAGAAATTGGGCGTATATTGGGGTACAAAGACCACGACAAGAGCCAGATGTAAGACAAGCAAAAGTCCTTTGAACAGCGAAGGAACAAGCCTATTTCTCCATTCTATTTCTGGCCACACTTTCCCTTCTGCACCACCAACACTCCACTCTTTGGGGAAGTGCATTTTTCCCATGCAGACCAAAGCCCCGGCATTGGGTGGCATCACCTGGCTGCCCTCGGGCATGACATGAACACAACCATGTCCATCCCAGAGACACACAGGGTGGCACAGAGCAGATGCTCTGCAGCTGAAAGGATGCTGAGCTGTCGGAAGAGAAGCTAACAAGGTCTGCAAGGTCTGTGCAGAGCAGTTTGCCGTCTTGGATGGACAGTCCCTAGTGCAGTAAACCAGTGTCCAGGTGGCAGGACCTCTAGGTGAGCAGGTGGCAGGCCCCTCTCTGTGCCTCTCCTGGAGGGAATAGGAGCCTGTTACCGCCCAGGCTGGCAAACGTGGCTGTAGCGCTCATGCAGTAGTTGCTCTGGCTTTCAGCTCTGGAAATCCCTGTGCAGTCCCCACTGCGCCAGCCATCGTGCAGACAAGTGATCTTCCAGGATGCAACTACTTCAGGCCACAGGATGTGCCTTCTTTGATCAGAGGAAGTACGTAACCCTCTGGTCAGCCCACGTACATCAGCAAGGGCATGTGTACACACAAGACTGATCATCAAGGCTGAATATGGAGGAAGTCCAAAGGTCTCCTCTGCCCAGGAGTGAAAATATTGTTGCCCCCTGCTCCTCGCAGTGCCAGGAAGGAGGTTTGGAGTCCCAGCTGGCTGCTGCCCACGGACCTTCTCTCACAAGCTTCTGGCTGGTGGCAGGACGAGGAGCTTCATTGCCTTCCATCACAGGCTGCCGATGGAGGAAGGAAGGGTGGTCTGCAGCAGAGACCCCTGCTGCGCTGAGCACCTGGGCTTTCTGCTCTCTTATCAGGAGGCAAGGATTCACCGAGGAAGCCTTCTCTCTCCGCTTCTGGGCTCCAGTGGGGGATTCCTGTGGCTGCCTCTACTTTGGGGCCTCACCCTCCTACCCTGCGGGCATCTCCGACACCTCCAACTCCAACACAAGCAAGAAGCCAAACGGCTGCTGGCTGGTTTCACCACTGCCAAAGGGGCTCTGAAGATCTGCTCTGCGCACGTAGCCACTTGGAAAAAACTGAGCATCAGCCAAGGCACCAGAGCGGCCTGCAGACTTGCACATGCACATCCTAGGAGGAAGGTTGACTGCGCAGCCATGAGGGCTACAAACCAAAACAACTTAAATTCTCCAAAATCAGACAACTCGGGCTCATCACCACGAATGATCTCCGCACCCAGATAACGGGTTGAGGCACAAGCCTGCCAACACAGGCAGGGCAGGTGTTTCTGCTGAGCACACCCCATCTTCTCCTATGACTTGCCCACCCTAGCACTTCCCTGGAGGGGCTCAGCAGCTGGTAGCTATGCTCAGTTGCCTTTAGAAACATGGCAAGGAGACCAAGGAAGAAAGAAACCTGTTAGGCTGTAAATACAATCTCCAGTCCCCAGCTGGCCAGGCCCCGCATCTGTCTAATCAAATTTTGTATTTACTTGGGAAAGGAGTGGCTGGGTTTGATGTAGCTCAGACTGGAAGTGGAAGATCATTACTGTTTTTAACAGCGAAGACTCATCAATGAAAAAACACAGCCACATCCCACAGCCAGTCGCTGCCAGAGGCAGTCTTCAAAGACACCCATGCTGCAGTGTGCCTCACCCAGACAGCCTGGGCTACCTCTTAATAATCGTGCCAAAAGGGATGGCGCAGGGGGAATCTGCCCCTTTCAAGACCAAGCAATTGGTCTTAAAAGGGGCACATTCCCCCTGTACCGAAACACAGCTTCAAGCCCTGGTAGGCACAAGCAAAAGCCTTCTCTGCTTTGCAAGAAAGACCTCCCCCCCAGCACTTCCCCAAAGGGGTTTGCTTCTCACCTCTCATTCCTCTGTGGACATGTGCTGGTCTGTTGACATCCTCCATCCCAGAGGTTGCTTCACACGGAGGTGCAACCATCTCCAGCGGCCCCACACTTCTACTGAATGGGACCACTGCAATGGGGAGCATAACCCCCGCTGGAAAGTGTTTGCAGACCCAGGCCGTGAATGGACCAGGCCACCGAAGAGCACACAGTGCGCTCAGACATGACCATCTCTCCCCAGCCTCGATTTTTTTGCTAAACGCCCCGAATCAGCTCCCGCGTGGTAGAATTTAGAAATCCCAAAGCAAGTCGATGATCAAATCCGCCGAGCAGAGCTGAACAACAGAGAAAGCACGCGGGCAATAAGAATAAGTCAACCCGAGCACACAAAACACATTCAGATAGCTGCTTTCTATCCTGTGTCTTTTCACACCAAAGGATGTGAGAGAGAGGAGAATAAACACTTGGCGGAGAAGAATAAGTGGAGTGTTTTCTGCACGGCACCTCTGTTTTGAGAGAGGTCGGAGTGGGGAGGGGGTCCCTCAATGCCGATACCCTGCGTGCTGCCACATCCCCAAGCAGATTGCAAGAGGGCTGCCACAAAGCCCCAGAGACCCCGGCCAGGGAGCACCCATCTGCACCGAGATTCCTCCACAGGACCAGGGGAAGCGGCCCGAGGACTGCCGGCTCCATTCAGGGTGCAGGGAAGGCATCTGCCCTTCCAGGGGGGAGCGCGCTGGGGTAAATGAGGGGGGGGACAAGGCAGGGCCGTATAGCCCAGCGACACCAGGATGTCATGCAAACGAGGCAGCCGGGGTCCGAGCAGGCCCTGGGTACCAGCCCCGGACTAACTTCTAAACTAGGCCCGGTCGCAGCCCACTGCAGTCTGCAGAGACAGGAACAGAGGAAGTCGAATGACGGGAAGGGAAAGGTGACCCAGACAAGGAACAGGATGGCAGGCTGCAAGCAAAAAAAGGATTCAAAACACAGCCCAGCGCACGGCAGACGCAGCCCGAGAGAGACGCACGCCGGGCATCCGGGGCCGCGCCCGGACCCCGACGCTTGTGCACCCCCCGATCCCCCGCGCGTCCCCAAAACCATCCCCCGGGGCGGGGCATCTGTACCTCACTTGAAACTTCTGCTCAGCCTCTGACGCTATCAGCTTAATTTTCTCCCAGTACACGTGTCAAGAAAATAATAATAATAATAATAATAATAATAATAATAATAATACAAGAAAAGGGAGGAGGGCGGAAAAAAAAAATCAATTTCCTTCCGACAAAAAGGAGCCGGGAAGCAGCAAGTCCATCTCGAGTTTGCTCCTCCACATCGTGCCCTTTCTCCCTCCCCCTCCTCTCCCGCTGGCTTCCAAAACAAATGCAACGCAGGGAAGGGGGAGGGCAGACCAAAAAAAACCCAACCCAGCAATCAAAATTATATTGCAAAAAAAAAGAATTGCCAAGAACAAGGAGAAAGCAGCCAAGTCCCCTTGCAAAAACAACACAAGAAAGAAAGGGGGGGAGAGGGGGCGCATCCAAATGTGCGGAGCCCCGGGAAACGGGGCCGCCGCCGCCCGGCAGCAGGAG